AGCAGTGTATAAGTACATAATTAGGAAAACTTAAGAAGAGGGGGACCTTTAGCAAGAGAAAGGGAGTAAATACAAATAAATTTGGAAGAAGGTAAAGGAAATGTCAGATTACAAATGATTTGCTAGGGGAAAAATAAAAAAGGGAAGAGTTCTTATGGAAGTGTCAAAGAGATGAATATAGAAGGAAAGAGATGGGTAAAATAACAGTAATAATTCCTGGTAAAAATACATAGAAGAAATCATATTATTAAAGATATTCCCCAAACCCTATGATAGACATAATGCTGTATATAAATATACATACAGAGTTTTAATAAATGTTTCTCATCTGAGCTGATGGCCTAAGACCACATAACAAAACCCCAATACTAGACATTAGAAGTCCTCTTTTGAGTTGTTGGCTAGGGCTATTCAATAGCCTCTCAAAAAATTCAGACTATTGCTATTGCCCTTGGTTTCCCCTCAAAAGTGGAAGCTAAGTCTCTGTTTGTAGAGATACCATGAACTTCAGAAACAGGTCTCTGATCTCCTGAGCTAGAAATGTTCTGAATTTTTACAACATAAAAAAGCCATTTTATAAACACACCAATCAAATGTATGGGAAATTCTTTTTTATGGGGGGGGTCACATGAAGATCAGAAAAGATAAACAGCCAACCACTAGAGAGACCTTTTACTGCTACTAAATCATCAGAACGAAAGCAGAGATTCTGTCTCCACGAATCCTCAGACTCCATATTCCACTGAGTTCCTGTATCTTCCCCTTTATGTTCCTCTCTCCACCCAGCCATATCACTCTTGTGTCCACCTCCCTAGTGTTGAGATTAAAAATATGTGACTCTCATACACTGGGATTAAAGATGTGAACCACCACCAACTGGAACTTTTTCTGAATCAATCTTGTGTAGCCCAGGGTAGCCTTAAACTCATTAATATTATAGAAAACTGGTTACCAAATTTCAATTGTAGTCTAAAGTCTACAGTAATAACCACTTAGTAGGCACTTGTGCAGGTAGTTTGATTTTCAATAGTTTTTCAACTTAGCAATAAGACTCTTGATTCTAGATGCATCTGCTTTATGCAAATTCACACAAAAACATAGAAGGACAATGACAAGAGGTGGAATCTGAATGATAAAACATTTTAACTAATTTTGGCACTCAATAAAGTGTGTGTGTGTGTGTGTGTGTGTGTGTGTGTGTGTGTCTGCGTTTGTGTTCTAATCTGTACATGTGTTGCAGAGAGGGCGCTTATTCATCCTGCTGCCCAGTTCCTAGCCTCCCTGCTAGCTTAGCCCCAAAATAACCACACAGAAAATGTATTAATTAAATCACTGTTTGTCCCATTAGCTCTAGCCTCTTATTGGCTAACTCTCACATCTTGATTTAACCCATTTCTATTAATCTGTATATCACCACAAGTTGGTGGCCTACCAGAAAAGTCTCAGAACATCTATTTCCGGCAGCTGGTCCATGGCATCTCTCTGACTCTGCTCTTCTTTCTCCCAACATTCAGTTCTGTCTTGCTTTTCTACCTAAGTTCTGCCTTATCAAAATGCCCAAAGCAGTTTCTTTATTAACCAATGCAAGCAACACAAAGACAGAAGGACCTCCTACACCATACTTGTGTACATATTTATGGTGTACATACCTATGGCTTCTGAGTATTGGATATATGCACATGCCTGAACATATGTAAAGATAAGAGGAAAAAACTGGGTGTCTTTGTTTTTATTGCCTTAAGACGGGACCTCTCATTGAGCTGGAAATTCACATTTTGTCTAGGCTGACTGGATAGTTGCAAGGGTCTGTCCATCTCCATCCCAATTTGGGGGCTAATGGTATCTTCAACCATTCCTGGATTTTCAAGTCAGTAGAAGGGATATGAGCACACTTAATAGTGCTTTCTCAGCAAGCGCTCCTAACCACTAAACTGTTCCTCAGACTTAACTGATCATTTTTTTTTGAATTCGTCATATATAATGCTGGGAACCATGTCACTTCTTTGGGAGAACTGACAATAGCATGAACAAGTTCTCTTTGTGACAAAGCCATGGAGAATATAACCCATTCTTGGCAAGGCTGATGTATAGTTTACTGAATGATTCTGGGCATTACTGGGAGTCTATTGCTCCCTGCTCTTCTTGCTTCCCATATACAAATTATTGCTGGCTGCCTCTAGTTTCACTTTCTTAGATCTATGGATGAAATAGTTATTGTATAAGGAAAACTTCCCCTTGATAACTCTCTTCTGGATGAGCCATAGAAGACATTAATAGAAATATACAGTGAACCTGATTCAGTACCAAACTAAAGCTTGTGATGTTTCAGGTGTGGCTATAAATTTAGGATTCTCAAGAACAAGATATTACCTTTCCAATGTACTTTGTGACTAGCTTGAAACAGTCACAGAAGTTCATGACAATATTACAAATCTACATAATGGCTTTGGAGAGATTGTTTTTTTTTTTGGTTTTTTTTTTTGGTTTTTTTTTTTTTTTTGTTTTTTCGAGACAGGGTTTCTCTGTGGCTTTGGAGCCTCTCCTGGAACTAGCTCTGTAGACCAGGCTGGTCTCGAACTCACAGAGATCCGCCTACCTCTGCCTCCCGAGTGCTGGGATTAAAGGCGTGCGCCACCACCGCCCGGCTTGGAGAGATTGTTTTTAAACACAAGAGTCTAGAAGAAATGGTAATAGTAGATGATATGAAGAGTTAATGGGAACAATCTATAAAGAAGGAATGAAGCAAAATCATAGAAACCCACAATGCCCTGATTTCTAATAACTGTGTCAATACTGTGGCAGTCAACACTGTAGGAAGCTGAAAGAAAGGGGATATGAGAGTAATAAATAAATAGTGTCATCTGTTAAAAGAAAGCTCTTAAGTTATGTAGTTTACAGGATGATAGGATAAATAAAATAAACCTGATATCTCCCCTATAGGAGATAGAGTATTTCATAGGTAAACATTAACCTTTAGAGGCACAACTTTTCTTTCCTTTGCATGACACAGTAACCACAAATACTGCTGGCTAGACATACTGTTCTACTTGTAGGTGTGTCTAGTTAGCAAACGTCCTTGGTTTATTGCTATACTGTTCCTGCTTCTAATATAAAAGCTACAAATCAAGTAGGTAATGATTACCAGCGAGAAAGTAGGACGATGTAAAGGGGATGAGGTAAAGCAACAAAGTGGCAATTATTAGAAATATTATTAGAAACCTAAGGAAACAAATATGATTATAAAACTGTTCATGCAAAACTATTGAAACTTTATAAATAAAAATAACTCAGGCTATTGGGGTCAATTGTTTGAAACAAGTAGTTGGAGTTTTCTTCTTTGCACCAATTTCACATGCCCATCTCAGGACACTGGACCCATTAGAAGCATGGTTCCCACAAATATGATAGAGAGAAATGTGATTATTAATAGAATGTTAATAAAGTTTTAGTAAGCGTAGCAATAATAACCATAAATCAGTCAACAAACATGTATTCTTAATTTTAAAGAAGTCAACATAAGTAGATCAAGAAAAGTCTATTTATGTTTGCACCAACATGAGCCATTGTGTATATATTTGAGCAAATTTTGTGAAGGATTTTCAATAAATAAATATTAAAAGGAAATTCAAATCAAAGTTTGTAGAGTCCTGGATTGTATATAGAATAGTTTAGAAAACAGAGCCTTGAAAACGAAAAGCCAGAATAATACTTATTCCTACACAAAGCATTGCATCTGGTTTACAAAAATGCAAATGGATGGAAATAGAAAACACTATCCTGAGTGAGGTGTCCCAGACCCAAAAAGATGAAGATGGGATGTACTCACTCATAATTGGTTTCTAGCCATAAATAAGGGCCACGGAGTCTACAATAGCTGAACCTAAAGAAGCTAAGTAAGAAGAAAAAAAAAACAAATCAAGAGCCTGACTATATATTATCTCATACCTTTTCTAAAATTTTCCCATCAAACTTAAAAGTAAGTTTATTTCATCCATGCTCCTAACTATAGTAATTATTAGAAGTGAAAGGGAATAAATAATGCAAGCATCCTAATGGAACAGCTGGAGGTGAATAAGGCAGATAAAGCAATAAAAGAGACTTAACTTTCAATATCTGTTCTGGTATATCACATGGATGATTAACTTACAATTTTGTAGATGCATTTTCCCAAAAATGGATACTATTATTTTCTGTGGAAGTTTACCCCCATTTAATAAAAAGATACAACTGCTAAAAATTTCATTAGTTCTATTCTCCACATGGGCTATTGGTTGTAAAGTTTATTGAACAGGGCTACAGTACCAATATTGTTTGCACATTGCAAAATACCATAAATTCCTTTTGCTTATTGTATCAGAGGACATTTTTATTGCTCTTTAAATTATTACATTGTTTTGCCAGATACAGCCTGGTGGATATTGGGCCTTCCTATATGATTTGATCTTTTACACGTGTCACTTTCAATATACCTTATTATTGTATATTATAATTTTATTATAAACTGATAAAGAGAAGTTATTTTATGTTATTTTCTGTTTCATGTTTGTCATACTTCCTTTGCCAAAATCCACATCTCTTTGCAGAGAAATATTTGAAATATTAATAATTGAAAAATTAATATTTGAAATATTAAAAAAATGATTATTTTTAAAATGTTTTTATTGCTTTAGAACAAGATTCTTCTCTTTCTTCTGCATACACAGTCTAGGAATTTGATTATTTGAATCTGTCACTAACGTCTTGGACATACCAGTCATACTAATATTTTCTCTTTGGCCTTATGGGAGTTTTGTAGTTCCTCTTCCTTTTCATCAAGCTTTGATATTCTCTTCTCTTAATCTATTCTATTGGTGAAGCTTTCTACTGAAGTTTTTATTTGACTTATGATTTTATTTCTTATTATATTTTGATTACCTGACATAATTTTAAAATTTAGTATTCTCCCCCTCCTATGAGTCCATCCAGATCCTCTCTTCCTCCATTCTCACACATTTTTTTTTTTTTTTTTTCCTCCTATAAATAGTTTATTTGTGTTTAGAAGTTGCAATTTTAGTATTATTAACAGAAAATACATAACAAAGGTTTCCTAAAAGTGAAAAAAATAATTATAAATGTTGGAAAAATTGGCCTCATTAAACATATTTACAGACTTTTACTTAATACATAATCCTTTGGAAATTACTTATGTGACATTTTTACAGCATTAACCCTCCCCAAATCTCTGAGCAGTGAGCACTTTGGCTCTTTACTGTCTATAACCAAAGTTGAATGCCATGTGATTTCTGCAGCTAGAGCCGCAGCTTCCTGGTCACTCTGAGACACTGCTGGCATACTGCTCTGCTCCTTCTCCTATGGATGTTTCTGCTGAAAAAGTGTCCTTCAGCAGCTTCTTCTCTTTACTCTGCTCTTCCTGCAATTTCAGAATTATGTTTCGGATTTCTTCTCTTTTTGTTTTCATTCTGGGGGGAGGAAACCAGTTCACCAAATTCATAGGGAGCTCAAAATTTAGTATTGGATTCTCAAAAAAACTCTCTACATACTGCAGAATGTATACGCCACAGTCGCTGAAGTTGTTCTGCTGTGGAACTTTGGGGTTGGAACCTCTCATAACATCTTTGGAAAAACTTCTTTTGCTTCCTTTTTTAACCTCCCATTCCACTTCTAAATACTCTCTTAGAATTTTGACAACATTTGACCGAGAAGGGCCTCTAAGTGAGTCCATAAGGAGGATACAAGGTTGTTTACAGACAATAGGTTTTAAATGCCACTGTCCTATTTCTGAATTGTAGTTTTCATCAGCAAGGAGTCCATCATCGCTGCTATCATCCGGCTCATCCTGATCCTCTGAGAAGTCAATGAGTTCATCTTCCAGCATTTTGCCACCTTCAGCTGACTGATCACCGTAGTTTAGTCTGATTTTGCTTAAGGCATCTGGATGATGTATAGAATTTAAACATTCATCCTGTAGGCCATTCTCACTTTTAGCTCTATCAATAACTTCCTGGCATGAAGATTTTCCATTACTTGATTCTTCGTTTTCACTTATAGCATGGTTTTTTTTTTTCACACTACATTTCACACTGTATGTGTTTCTCCGATAACAAGGCTCACTTTCTTCCTGTCCAGCACTGGACTCAGTTACAGTTAAGCAATGCTTTCTGTTTAGCATCTTCTTAATCACAGGCTTGGCAGAAGAGTTCTGTGAACAACTGTCCATTTCACTGGCAGAAGAAACACAACTGTCCTCTGCAGCTGAACTTTTTTGCACGACTGCATTTTCATGGTAATGGGGGTTAGGTTCATATTTTGGTTTTTCCAAACCAGGGAAACAAACAACAGCCAAAAACCAGTGTGCAGCTTCATTAAGGGGTGCAAAAATAAAATCCTTCTCAAAAATATCTACATGCCGGGTCCATGTTTTTACTCTCCCATGACGTTTTTGTTGTATTGATAGGTTAGTTGTCTCAGCATTTCTTCTCTCTCTCTGATTAAGGCGTTTATAGAAAAAAGAACTGAATATATGAATTCGGTCAGCATCTTCTTTCTTCAGTTTTTCAAGCACCAAGTATTTCAAATAAAAGTCGATAATAACATCATTTAAAAACTCTCCTTCACTTAGACAGTGCAGGTCCTCATTAGTAACAGAGATGCCTCCCTTAGCCGGAGGTGGTGGATACACTATCAATTTTTCTACAGGGCCAATGAAGATAGTGTGGCTCTCTCCGGTTTCTTCCTCATCATCAAAAAACTGCAATTCTTGTTTGCTTCTGAGCTGTATTTTAGATTCAAAGGACACAGTTTTCACTTTGTTCTCTTTTTGCACACAATTTCCTTTGATGCTTTCTTCATAGCTTCTTGTACAGGCAACAAGTCTGCTATTGGCTTCTTCAAAAGGAATTTTCGCAAAAAAGTTGCAAACATTATTCTTTATACCAATGTCAGTAATGATACTTTCAAAGACCACATTTGCCTGAGGATCAAGGCCAGTTTGAAAAATTAAAATAATGTACTGTTCTTCTAAACTTGTTAACCTGTTCATTCCTTTACAATCATTCCAAGCTTTATCTTCTTTATTCATTTGCAGCTGCATGCTCAGCTTTTGATAAACTGATGGTATTGCCTGGAGGAACACTACTGGTAATTTCCGGACATTACACCATTCACATTTAGTTAGATCAGAGGTATTTAAAATAATCTCTACAGGATCACTATCTGGTGCATCTAGATGTATCTTGATTGCCTCTAAAGAAAAAATTACAGGCTCTACCAATAGTCGGAAGAGCGTTCCAACTCGTATACTTCGGCAGTTTAAAATGACACTTCCAAAGTTTAGGGGAGGTGACAGTGACACAGAGTGAATTAAAGTTCCGTGAGTGTTTATTTTGCGACGTTTTAGAGGTGTGCTGATGGGATTACCAAGCTGGTCCTTCATTCTTGCTTTTCTTGGTATGACAACTGTGTTTAACTCTGAATCTGCTGGGTTGCTTCTAGATTCTTGCTCTGTTCTGCAAATATTTGCATTTAGTGCAGCTTCTACTTTTCCAGTCGATGGCGCTGGGGAAGAACACGCGGAGTCTGCAGGCTGTGGGGATATGCTCTCTCTTCTGCTAGTCCTCTCATCCTCATCGTCATCACTGGACAAAATGATTGGATCATTCAGATCTGACAAGCTTGTCTTTTGTTCTTTCGGGTTTGTGAGTTTAGGTATTTTTCCTCCAGGTAGAATGACTTTTCCATTAGTCTGGATGTAATTATGTCTACTAGCATCACAAGTCACCAAAATATCTATTGGAATCTTCTCCACACTGTTACCATAAAACTTCTTGGCTGTTAATCCTGTGGTTTGTGACTTCTGTCCTCCAGAATTCTGATGAATTGACGTTCTTAGTAAAGGTCCAGTGGATTCATGCAAAGTTATAGCTTGTCTGCAATTTCTTTGCAAATCATTATGAAAAACAATACCACAACTTTGGCATTTGGTCTGATTTTCTTTTTCTTTTCCACATTTTGGGCAACATTCACGCTGTTCAGATACCTCTAAATGGGTCAAACACTTCTTTGAAGCAGGGGAAAGTGGAGATAGCTGATAGGTACTACAGTGCCGTTTCTGCTGTACTTTCCTCTTAATTTCAGGCTCTATATATGATTCCGACTCTTCTGTTTTCTTCATTATACGATCTACACCTTGGACATGACTTAACATTACAGGGTTGTTTTCAGCTTTTTGGACATGAGGTGGATATTCTTTCCTCTGAGCTGCTGTTTTGACGCCTGGTATTTGTGCATGAGCATGATGGAAGCGTCTGCCATGAACTACAGTTCCAGAGCATAATGCTGCAGCTGGTGTATTTTCACTCAGTTTTTTATTGTTGCTTAACATGTTAAGTCCAATTGGGTTGCCTTTCAAAGTTTTAAAACTGTCAGTCTTGTTTCGTCTTACATAGGTCTTCAAGATGAAATCACCAGAACTAGTAGCAACAATCTCAGACCTCCGATGTAACTTTTTTCCTTTTGAGGTTTCAGAATCCTCATCTTCTACACTGAGTAGATTTGCCCCAAGGCTGCAGTCCAGCTAATCCAACAATGGCTGGCTGGGAACAGAAACTCCAAGAATCTAATGGTTGCTCAGTCCAAAGGCTGGGTGTCTCAAGCGGTCTTCAGTATATACCAGAATTCTGAAGAAGCAGGCTCCGATGCCAGTGAAGGAAAGGATGTGCTAACAAATTGAAGGCAAGCAGGCAAAGAGCAAAACCTCCTTCTTCTTCCCTGTTCTTAGGCTTCCAGCAGAAGGTGTAGCCCAGATTAAAGGTGTCTTTTTACCTCAAAGGTCCAGATTAGAAGTAGATCAAATTATGCAAAAGTCCCTCTCAGGTGTGCCCTTCATTTTCTGATTTTAGTTAATTCCAAATGTAGTCAAGTTGACAACCAAGAATAGCCATATTCTTGAGTGAGCTAAACATTTAAATTGACTTGTTTTCAAAGTTCCTGAACTGCCACTGGACAAGTGTGCACGCACACACGAAAGAACAATCTTGAGTGTTTTCTTCCACTTTGGGGTGGAGGGGGGTGCTGCATTCTCTCTGCAGCTGGCTGGTGAGTGAGCCTCAAGGATCCGTCAGCCTCTCTTTCAAGCATCAGGCTCACATTGCCACACCCAGATTTTCACATAAATTTTGTTAGGTCCTCAGGATTATGTAACAAATATTTTATCAGTTGAGGTATTTCCGCAGCCCAATTGCTGCCTTCCTTCCTTTCTTCCTTTATTTTTGTCTCCCAGGCTAACCTCAGATTCACTGTGTAGTTGAAGATGACCTTTAATTCCTGATTTCCCCTGTCTCTGTCTTTTAGGCTGGTATTATAGGCATGAGCCACCATCCCAGGTTTAAGTCATTGTCATAGTCACTGTTCTATTGTTGCGAAGAGACACCATGACCAAAGCAACTCTTATAAAAGAAAGCATTTATGGGCTGGAGAGATGGCTCAGTGGTTAAGAGCACTGACTACTCTTCCAGAGGACCATGGTTCAATTCCCAGCACCCATCTGGCAGCTCACAACTGTCTGTAACTCTAAGATCTGACACCGTCACACAGACATAGATGCAGGCAAAATGCTGACACACATAAAATAAAAATAGATAAATTATTTTTTAAAAAAAGCATTAAATGGGCACTTGTTTACTGTTCCAGAGGCTTAGTCCATTATCATCATGGCAGGGAGCATGGTAGCAGAGAGTGGCAGCAGCAGGCAGTGTGATACTGGAAATGTAGCTGAGAGCTATGTCCTGATCCAGAAGCAGAGAGAGAGAGAGAGAGAGAGAGAGAGCCATTCTCACACATTTTTTACAACAGAAAACAGTAACAAAAACATGATATAACAACAAAATCTAGAAAACAAAATAAAAATGTCCCAATCAAATTAATAACCAAATAAAAGCACACAAGAATCTGCGAAGCTCATTATATGTTGATCAACTACTCAAGAACATGAGGTCTATCATAGAGTGGATAATATATCCAGTGTTACTCCATTGAAAATAAGCGATTTTGCCTCTACCAACAGGTATGACAGTTCAGCCAGTAACATTTACTCTTCTGGATAGGACTTATTCATTCATTATTTCTTTTTCTTTGTCCAAAAAAAAAGATAACAAAATAAAATATAATGGAGTAAAGCAGAAACTGCCATGTCAATTTTAGACAAGACAAACCAAAAGAAAGTAAAGATCCCAAAACAAGTCAGAAATCTCATTTATACACTCAGGAATCCCATTAAAACACAAAACTGAAAAAAAAACCCACAAAACTGGAAGCGTTTCACTAAGTTCACCTGGAAAAGATTCATGCAGGCCCTGTACATGCTGCTTCAGATTCTGTGAGTTCATATGAGCTTTACCTGCATCAATGTAGAAGGTCTGGTTCTCCTGGTGTCCTCAATATCCTATTGCTCTTATGTAGCGACTTTGTCCCAGATTCCTAGAAATGAAATAATCACACAGAAACCAATCATATTCCTTAAAACATTGCTTGACCCATTAGCTCTAGCTTCTTATTGGCTAACTCTTATATCTTAATTTAACCCATTTCTATTAATCTGTATATTGCCACATGGCAGTGGCTTATCAGCAAAGATTCAGCATGTCTGACTCTAGAAGCTCCATTGTGTCTCTTTCTTACTCCTCTTCTTCACAGCATTTTTTTTTAGTTTTCCCATCCTAGGTTTGTTCCCCTATAGCTCTGCTATAGGCCCAAAACAGTTTCTTTATTAACAAATGAAAGCAACACATAGACAGAAGGACCTCCTACACCACTCATATATTCTTTCTGGCTCCTCTTCTGCATAGTCCCCTAAGCTCTTAGATGAGATATTTGGTGAAGTAATTTCATTTATGGATGAGTGTTTCAAGGAGAGCCAGGCTGCAAGGGAAGGACCTATTTGTCCTGGGTGCCCAGCCCCGCAATCACCACACAGAAACTATGTTAATTAAATCACTGCTTGGCCTGCTATCTCTAACTTCTTATTGGCTAATTCTTACATTTTAATTTAACCTGCTTCTGGGCTGGAGAGATGGCTTGGCCGTTAAATGCTAGGCTCACAACCAAAAATATAACTTAACCCACTTCTATTAATCTGTGTATCGACATGTGGCAGTGGCTTACCAGCTAAGTTTCAGCAAAATGTCTTACTTTGACAAGTTCCATAGCATTTCTTTCTCTGCCTTCCTTCTCCCAGCATATTGCCTAGCTTTCCCCACCCACCTAAGTTCTGCCCTATCAATAGACCCAAAACAGTTTCTTTATTAGCCAATGAAAGCAACACAAAGACAGAACCTCCAACACAAAAATTTGAGTAGAGAATGTTTTTTTAAAAACATGTAGAGCAAATGGAAACCATGAGATAGGATAATAACTAAAAAATGACTCATTGAATTATGAAAAGGTGGATGGAAGGAAAACTAAATGTTATTACTGGTGAAATAACTCAGTAAAAGTTTGAATTGTATGATTTGAACTACAATACAGTACCGATAAAAGAAGAAATATTAGGGTTTCAAGTGAAACACAAAATCTCAAAAATAAAAATCAGGAATGTAAATGGATATATATATATATATATATATATATATATATATACACATATCAGACAAGTTATCAAGGAGGATGGCAAATATACATGTGTTTGAAAAGATTCTCAACATAATAGAATATCAGGCAATTATAATTTTCAAATTAAAAACATATTACAATGCAATGAGGGCTGATGAGAAGCCAAGGACAATGGCACTAGGTTTTGATCCTACTGCATGAACTGGTTTTGTGGGATCCTAGCCTGTTTGGATGCTCACCTTCCTGGACCTGGATGGAGGGGGGAGGACCTTGGACTTCCCACAGGGCAAGGAGTCTGGACTGCTCTTCAGACTTGACAGGGAGGGGGAATGAAGTGGGGAGAGGGGGAGAGGAGTGGCAAGATGGGGAAGGAGTGGGGGAGGGGTAGAGGAGTGGGAGCAAGGGGAGGGAAATGGGAGGCAGGGAGGAGGCAGAATTTTTTTTCAAAAAAATAAATAAAAAACATATTACGAAAGTGTACCACAAAAAACATTAGAATAATACAAATTGAAGTATTGATGACTCAAAATATTGGCATAGATATAAAGGAATAAGTAATTTTTCCATTGCTGCTATGAAAACAACACTGTAAGTCACATTGGACGAGAATTCAACTATCCCTTACAAAATCTAACATAATTTTTGCTATTTGACCAGCTGCGATACTATACCTGTACACAACTGTTCAGAGCATCTATTCATAATTTTCAAAATATTGAAGTTCTCCCAAGAACTTCAATTAGAGTGTACTTGGATAAACTTAAATTCATGCATATTATGGAATATTTAATGCTAAAAATGAGTCATTCTACCTTGAATATGTATATTGAAGACATTTGAATATAGTTTCTGATTAAATAAGTTAGTAATAATTTATATATTGTGTAAATTTAAGTACAACAAAATAGTAGTGAGAGAAGAAATATTAGTGATTGCATGAGAGATCATGATAAATACATGAAACATAGGGGAATTTTTGTACAGAGAAATTATTCTGTTTAAATGTGGTGTAGGTTTAATGCTACGACCCAGCCTGGGTGGTTGGCAGGTTCCAGAGAGTATTCCAGGGGTAGGCAAAGGAAATATTGAGTCAGACACTGTGGTCAGGAAAATGACTGACTAGTAGTCAGGAAGCTTCTTTATTCATTCAGAATTCTATATTCATGAATAGATCCATGTTCAAAATATATAACATATCATTTCTCTTTTTGGACATGTGTTTCACTTACTCTTGCATATATTTTAGTAATTGTTGATAAGACTCCTATGTACATGCATTGATAGTCTCAATATTACAAAAATGGGCATATTACTACTGAAATGAATCTTCAAATTCATTGCAATCACAATCAAAATTTCAGTACCAGTCATAAAATTTTTTGTACAAAATAATAGAGTCCATAGATTAGCATAGGTTACCCTAGATTACCAAAGAAAGGCTGAGCAAAAAGAATATGGCAGAAGGTAACAACATATCTGATTCAAGTTATGCTACAAAGATTGTAATATAAACAATGTAATGTTGGTATAAAAGAAGACACACAGATCAATGGAATAAAATAAGAATTCAGTTCCAAAGCCATATGACTAGACCATCTGAACTTCAATAAATATGCCAAAAATACGTACTGGAGAAAAGATGGAATCATCAACAAATGGTTCTGGAAAAACTAGATGTCTACATGCAGAAGTACAAAATTAAATATTTCTCTCTCAATGTGCACATAAATCAACACCAAATAGATCAAGGAACTCAACATAAGAATATAAATTCTGAAATTGTTAGAGAAAAAAAAAACAGAGAAATTCACTTCAAGAAATAGGCACAGATAAAGTCTTTATGAATAGGACTCTGATAACTCAGAAAATAAGGCCAATAATCAGCAAATGTAGATAGATATTGCTTGTTCATTTTCCAGCTACCCAGACCTGAAATAACCACACAGAAACTGTATTAATTAAAACACT